ACTTCTGCACTTTGTCTCCCTGATCCAATTTCGCGAGGTTTGATCGATACAATTTGATCTGCCTCGTGAGGTGAACAAAGCTTGATTTACATAAAAATAACTTTGTTAATATAATTTATAAAACACGGTGACCTTTTTTCTGAAAAATATCAAATAAGGGCACCAGAACTGTTCACCTCCTTTCTCTAATGGAAGTAGCGAATAGCAGGACAAACCTCCCCCACCGTCAATTTCAGATCTTGCCACCAAGTTAAATGAATGTAAAGGTTCATTTCGCTAGTAGATAATTTATGCAAATCGATCAAAATTTTGCTCCAAGACATACACCTTATGTTGTCATCAAAAGCATAAACTATACAAGAATAGTTGTTTAAACACTACTCTTTACATTGCTTCTCATAATCATCGACAGACCAAGAATCCATTTGCTTTCTCTTTTTCACTGTTGTTGCTATTTCTCTCGCATTGTAATTGAGTCTTCCTCTTACACCCACCGGACCAATTTCCCAAACTCCACTCTTCTACAGACTTGGGTGTGAATCCATTCAAACAACTACTAAATTGGTGAATCCATTCACTTTTGCACTTACCATAAACATCACATTTTCTGCACTTCTGTACTTGCAGTAAACAACACATTCTGTATTTGTATTTGGGGCAAACCAACGAATAGACCAATTGTCTTTTGTTTTATACCAATATTCTACCATTGAGAATTTGCATCTAAATTGAATCCATCGAAGTTTACAGAGTGCATATCCGGCACCCCTATAAAGACAAACCACTCTCTCTCTCTCTCTCAATTCTTGTCGCCACACCACCCTCCTCTCTTTCTTTGCCGCACAATCTACGAGTTTAAAGAGGACTGTATTAGAATGCCCTTATTTGATATTTTTTCATAAAAGTTATCCATCTAACCTTGCGAGGTTCTGCAATCTTCAACCTCACGGGGTCACGTTGCTCCGTTTCTTGATGTGTCGCAAGACATCAATTCTGCCATTTATCATAAGTCTTACTATACACATTGACGAGGTTTTATCTCACCTTTAAATATATATCCACTGTCTCACACTCATAATTATTTATTCAACAATAAAACCCTCCATCTATAGCATGTTATCATCATCATCATCATCACTTAAGCCTTCTCCCAACCAAGGTTCAAAATATCACAACTAATCGGGTCATATCGGTCGATGCATATCATTTAGACAAGAACCTAATACACAAAACATGTATAAATCCTTTGTTCCTTTTCTTTTCGTGCGTATCGGCCAACATAGGCCCGAAATAGTTTGATACATTGATCATTTCGGTTCATCATTAATTTCATTAATTAATATTCAATACCGAATCTCTCATTAATGTCGTTTCTTTTTCATTAACTAGTCAATTACTCTAAAGCAAATTTAAATTTAAATTTGAATTTTAATGCCTAATTCAAATTCTCTCATTAACTCCTTTAATTAATGATCCCTTCTCATTAATTTTGTTTTGTTAGTGTAAAAACTTCAAATTTTAGCTAACATTGGTCACTTGATTTTAACAACCACAAGTTCACCAACAAGCCACACATATTTGTTTGTTATGACCATATGTATATATTTTGAATTTTAAGTAAATTTTCACTTTTCTTAATATGTGACAAGTGCTTATTAATAAATGCTAGAATTAATTATTAAAATTTATATACTAATAAATATTAAGATTAATTATATTGGTTTTTTAAAAATTAACATTCACATTTTAGTTTTTTTTTTAATTTTAGTTATTCCATCATTTTTCAATGGTTACTAATTGTGTCCCGATATGTCACACTTTATATAAACCATTAAATTATGGTTTTTACATTTAAATAACTTATTTACAATCATATAAAATTTGTTAATATTGTTAGTAATATATTCTTTAAGATTTATTTGAATTTTCTACTATATTTATGTGTATCTTGATTTTTCATCCGTATCCATATGTATTCAAAGCATATTCCGATACATCTCTTAAAATTGTCTTTCTAATACACCTTACATTTCTCATACTTTGAACCTTACTCCCAACAAAATGTACATGAATCCTTTTTCACCATTTCATTCTGTTCAGTGTCATATCCATTGTCAAATGTCAAATTATGGGGATTAAAATCATTTCTTACTACTACTTCCACCCAAGTCCTTTTCCATATGCCTCTAACTATTCTAGCCCCTTCAACTTATGACACATCACTTCTTCTGACGGGTGTTGTAGATGGCCCATCTATAACACATAGCCTTCATAAAAGAAAATTAGTAGATCAATTCTCAAATGGCATGTGAAAATCAAGTTCTAGGCTTCTAGATTTCCTATTGAAAAAGAAAAATAGCATATATGTGAAAGAGATAAGAGTACAAATTAGGGCATCCAAGTTACGACAGCCACCCCCACCACATTTCAGTAATTGAACCAATGTGGAAACTTCCTCGGAAGGCAATGGGGACATCCCATAAGACCAATGGTACCCCCAATTTATAATGAATAAACATTAATTTACTTATTTGACTAATTATTAAGGCTTTGTTTGGTTTAATAGAAAGAAAAAAAAAAACAGAAAGTTGGTTGGGGGAAATTTTGCAAGGAATTTTGTGAAACTTCTTCATAACTTAACTCAATTTTCTGTTTATCTCGTATTTTCCATCAAACCAAATATATATACAAGGGTTTGCAACATTTGGAAAATATGGACTGTGACCAAATCACCCCCTACAATTAGGGATGCTACCTTTGCATCAAAAAATATATATATATATACAAAGAAACAAAGAAAAGAAAAAACTTTCACCTTATAATAAATTTAAAGTTCTATTTGATTTCATAGAAAATAATAAAAAAGTTAAAAGGTGAGAGAAATTCTTAAAGAATTTGGTGAAATATTTTAAGAATTTTTTCTCAACTTTCCATTTCCCTCTTAGTTTCTATCAAATCAAACATATAACATAAAGGGCAACCATTAAAAACTGGTGCGTGCTCATGGGGCAGTATCTGCCACAAACAATACATGTACAACTAACACAATCAAGAGTGAAGACACCAGTTAGTAGTAGCCAATCAAGAGTGAAGACACCAGTTGGTAGTAGATGCCATGCCACCGTCAACCCCGCCTCTGAATTAGATGAGGGTTTGTAGTTGAAAGGAAGAATAAGAGACGAGATCAGGTAACAAGTCATTGTCATGAGGAAGATTTAAAGAGGGGAAAGGACAGAGTTGCTTCATTGTCACCGTGACTTCTAAGGCAATGAGTTTTGTAGCATATGAATTGCTTCAAAGTGTGGATGTACTTCATTTCTGCTTTATCTTGCTCAACAGATTCCACCAACATTGGCGTGGTATGGTTGTTTGCTTTGCTAAATCGAATTTTTCTTTTCCTTTTTCCTGGACTTAAATAGTCAAGGTGGTGAGGTGGGCACTGTGAAATTCTATTAATAATGGCCACAAAAATTCAATTACTACTTCAAAATTTTTCTGAAGACCATTTTACCTAAAATGGATGTAGTATTTTCAACACAATTTTTCAAAATACCCATTCAAGGTACTATCTACCATCTTTAACCCTGCAGGGTTGCAAGCAAGTAACTACTCGGTTTCTTGGATAGAAGCCGAGGAGGTATGATTGCTAGAGGTGCAAGAAAGGTACCGTTTTGAAGAATTTATGATGTGTCAGGGCTGGACTTTCAGGCTGCGCCTATTCAAATTTTGACAAATTCTCGACCCAAGCCCACCCAAGTTAGAACCCTAATGATCACTTGTCCAAAGTAGGATCCAAACCAAATAAACCATTAACAGTAAAAGGGGACCAAATTAGATAGAAGTAGATTGGGACTTCATATTTCTACAAAGAAGAGAATAGCTTAAAATTATGGGACTTGGGGACTTTTGAACTTCACAACCCGCCCTATGTGTGTCTACAGGTGAAGGGGCAGTTTTCTTTTTAGATTACACAAAGCAATCTTACATTTAAAATGTAGACTGAGTGTTTACAAGTTTCTAAAAAAGCCTTAAGAATGTTGCTTGACTTCTAACCTATGTTGCTTCTTACATCATATGTTTATTTCTGGTTTTTGAAACCAATGTCATTTCTCAAGACCTATGTCTTGCCAAATTTAATTAAGTTTTTAACATACACATATGTTTTACAATATAGTTTATTAAAATATACCGCTTTACATGTTTTGAAAGTGTTAATGTCATAGAGCACATCTGGAAGTATCCATGCAATATCCTCCAGTATACGCTAGGCATCTTACAAGTATCTTGGTATTTTGGCTTCTAACAGATTTCCTGATGGCCTTTTGACAGAGAATATCTGTTAGTGTCAAAGAACCAGGGAAAAGTGCAATGCGTTCCAAATAGGGGTATGTGTTATCAGCAACTCTATGGAACACATATATAATTTGAGTTCAACTTCACTCCTTCCATGAAGGATTGTCATGGGTACCCATGGATAGACACATAACCAGGCCTGAAATATTCAAGGCCCCTAAGATGTTTTGATCATGTACATAGAAGATTACCCATGGCACCATTAATAGGAGTATTTTCAAAAGTGATGTGGATTGTAGTGGTGAGCAATGACTTGAGGGCCCATAGTTTAACAATGGATATGACATTGAACAGAGAGGAAGGGCAGAAGAAGGTTCATGTAGTCAACCCCATATATTGGAGAATTTTTTACGGGTTTCACCAAGTCTAGGATGGAGCCATTCTTAAAGAAAAGGCCTGGAAGTGATAGACATTGAAAGGAGACTTACACAGGAAAATGGACAGGTCAACTGCTTTCTGCTTGTATAGATCATAGAATTCCAACCCTGATCCGACCTCATCATTTATCAGATCTAGTTTTACCAACTAAAAAAAGGAAGAGAAAAGGCAGTTGATGGACTGATTTAAAGACTGATCACTTATGACAAGGGCATGATGATCCACGAAAGGAAGTTTCTCACCTTAAATAACATTCCAAAGAAACTCAAATTGGAACCTATGCGGAAATACAATAGAAAAAAAAATCATATCAAGTTTTTCAACGAGTTTCTCATATATCATCATATCATCCATGTACTTGTATTTTGCTTCTGTTATTAAGAAAAAGTATAGATATTACAAAAAATGCCATTTAACAATTTTAATGCCAATCACCTTTGAAACCTCCCTTGTTTGTCTAACAACAATTCTTGTGAATTTCATTGTTCGTCATGCTCAGATATAGAATCCAGTTAGATTGCCCAGTCAGCTATATTCAAAACTACATGTTCATAAAGGTTCAGTTGGAACCCTGCAATACCCTGGAAAAAAGAATGGAGAGGGCTGCATGAGAGATTCATACCAACAGCAAGTAAAAACACATTGTTGAAGAGACAAATACTCTTGAACCAAAGAAATGCACCTGAGCATAAGACCCAACAATCCTCTTTCATGTAGAACTTGAAACCACAACAAGAGCAAACATGTTCCTAGATATTGAAACCCCAATGCAACCTAAAACATTCACAATGAGGCTGTCTCCCATGATAGCCTAATCCGCTTCAAGTCTATGTAAATTTAAAGGATGATACCCTCTGAAACATCAGGAAGTTCATTATTTGACAGTTCATTGCCGTATAACTCATACTAGTTGGTAGATGATTCCCAAATACAGGGCAAAAGAAGCTCCTCCATAAAAGAAATTAGTTAAAGAAAGACCTCTATAGGAGCATAGGAAAATTCAAGCTGATGAAGTATCATAAACGCTAGAACAGGGACAGCAGTTACGTCAAGCTACAGATATGAGAAATTAATGGTCTCGAACAGCAACAAATCTGTTCTAAATGGAGCCCTTTTTGTAATGGTAATAAACAGCCTTGATTCAATCATGCCCTCTGAGGAATTTGTCTGATCTCACTTTATCATAACCCCACTTCAGGATGGAGGGCAAGATGAAGATGCTGAATTCAATAGCTCTCCACCAGCTACTGTATGTTAGTTATCCATTTTTAAATATTAACACATCAAAGTCAAAGATTGAACTCTTGAATACTTCTAGAGAGATTAAAAAAGCACTCTTTAGTCTTCTCATCTCCTCCTCCCCAAAACCTACTTATCAATTAGCATCAGCTCTCTTAAAATCTCCGTAGTGCCTGCATCTCCAGAACAGGAACCATTAATTAAAGATTCCCAACCCTCCAAATGGAACCTCATCTCCCTCTTCTCCATCTCTTCCAAAACAAAACATGCATCACTCAACTTTCCACGTTCACAGAGTCCAAAAAACAAACAACAAAAAGTTTCCAAGCGTGGACAATGATTACTAGTCAGCATCGCATTTAAAACCCTCAAACCTTTCTCAAAATTCCCAACCTTGCAAAACCCATCAACCATCATCCGATATGTTGCAGCATTCGGCACACAGCCTTCAACCTGCATTTTTACAAAGACCTTGTAAGCCTCCGAAGCTCTACCTTCTCTACATAAATAATTTATCAAGATATTGTATGTCACTACATCTGGCTTAAACCTTCTTCTCTTCATCTCAGCAAGCAAAGATTCTGCCTCCGCAATTTTCCCTCTCCTTCCAAGGTCACTCATCAAAACCCCAAAATTCACAAGACGTGGTTTACACCCTCGGTATTCCATATCAAACATCATCTTTCTTGCTTCATTATATTTCCCTGCAGAACACAAACATTCCATCAACAGGGCGTATGTGACTGCATTGGCGTGTTTCCCTTTCCGAGTCATGTCCTCAAATAGGGCTCTTGCCTTGTCCAGATCGCCTCTTCTACATAAAAAACCAATCAAACAATTGTAGGTTACTGCAGTAGGTTGGACTTCCCTCTCAAGCATTTCTTCAAACGCTTGGCAAGCTTGTTCCCATTCACCCTTCTCAGTGTGGCCCTTGATGATTATGTTAAACGAAACTGAATTAGGCCGAAAACCCATCCTAGATGAGCTATTAAAAATCTCTTTTGCATCAGCGAGGCGATCATTCTCAACAAGAACGTTGAGGAGGAAATTCAATGACTGCAACGTACGGGTGCAATTGAAAGACGTGATGCGATGAAAAAGGTCGATAGCCTTCTGGGGTAAATTGAACTTTCCATAGTGCTGAATTAAAGCTACAAAGAGTTTCTCTTGGCACCTCATATTGTTGTCTCGGATGTGATCAAGGAGGGTCTCAACTGCTTCGAAATGGCGAGAACGAGCGAATTTGTAGATGAGAGCAGAGTAGGAAGGATAGTCGTGCCTGAATCCCATTTGTTGGTATTCATGGAAGAGAGCGAGAGCATCATCTGGATGTTTGATTTCCTTGAGATGGGTAAGGAAGGGAATAGGTCTGCGGGGCTTTGGAGAGGTGGTTGGACGAGGAGGGCGTTTATGGCCATTTTTTTCTGTAGGCCTAGTCGAAGAACGGAAGGTTTGGTGTGGCCTTGCTGTTTTGATCGAATGACAATTCATGCATTTGCCGACCTGATTCAGTGCTTTTAGTCTTGAGAACATCATGCAGGAAGCACAAAACCAACGCTCATCGCTCCAGGGTGGACGACAGCATTATTTATACGTTAGGATAGATAAGTAGATTTGATGTGCTTTTTTTTTTAATCTTATCCTTCATATTCGTATTTATACAGGAAAATAGTCAGGACCTCGATGCACGCGCAAAATTGACGATAGAGGAATTTAAGATGGAGCTCTATGACATTTTCAATTAAATGGTGTCTATTTATTTTTCTTTTTTTTTTTTTTGGGATATGTCTAATTTATTCAATTACAATTTAATTCCTTTACCATAAAAAATCGCAATTTAAGTTGAGATTTATTGAGGGTGGTTAATTTCCTATTCTCTATATAAATTTGTATTATTTTTTTTATCTTAATGTTAATTTTTATTATTTTTTTGAAAAAGAGTTTTTTTATTAATCTTTATTGGTTTATTATTATTTTTATATTATTTCAAGGTAAAATTATAAAAAAAAGTCCTCATAAAATAATTCTATAAACCACCTTTATGTTTTGATCATAACAAAGGCATCTCCTATAGTTTTGAGAAAAAAAAGTGCAAATGCCTCCTTTCCCTTGGTTTTTCATAACAAAGATGTTGAAGTCTTATCATTGTTAATGCATTATCATACATAAGGTAAAAATGCTAAAGCAAAGTAAAATTAATGCATTACATCAACATTTTTTATTTGGATTGCAAACGAAAGCAAGGTATTTGCATCTTTTTCCAAAACAATAGGCGAGGTTTTGTTAAGGTCAAAACACTACAGAGTTTCATAGGATTGTTAGAAAACCCAAAAAGGTTTTTATAATTTTCCTTATTTTTAAATGGAATTTAAATTGATTTTTAAATAATTAAATTATATTTAAAATTAATATTTTTATTAATTTTTAAAATTAGTAAAAATTGAATTTATTTAAGTATATTAAGTTTTTATTAAATTTAAATTCCTTATGAAATTTATATAAATTTTTATTTTTCAGTGGAACTTAAGTTGGTTTTAAATTAATAAAATGTAATTATAAAACTAATAATTGTTTGATAATTTTGTCTTAGTTTTATATTAATTTTTTATTTATCTTATTCTTTTTATTAATTAGATTATTTTTATTTTGTTAATAAAAATATATTTATTAATAACAATAATTAATAATTATTTTTATTTTATTTAAGTAACTTACTAAATTAATTTCATTATATTTGATTAATTTTTATTGTTTTCAGCATATAAATGGATTATAATTTTGAATGGAAGTTGATTATTTAGCATAATAATATATCATTGAATATCTCAATTTCATTATAATTAATCTTTACTAATAATTACAATTTAATGCAAATACATCTAATATATATATAATTAAAGTTAAATTGAAATGAATATATATAAATAAAGTTAATGTATTTTATGCAATTTAATGGAATAATGGAAATGAGAGAGATTTAATGGCATGAATTATTGAAGGATAGAGTTAGTAGCATAATTAATGAGGTGAGATTATTAAAAGATTAATGGAAAAGAGAGAGAGAGAGAGAGAGAGAGAGAGAGAGTATGTGTGTGTGCTAATGGTGTATTAATGAGGAGTGTTAAAAGTCTTAAAAGTGATAGGTCACTTCAATTATTTTGTTCAATTTTAAGAGGGAAATTGTCCAAAACCCACCATCACTTTTTTTGAATTCTCTTAAACTCACCACAACTTTTCAAAACATCCAAAACTCACTATGTCATATGTATTTTATTTTCCAAAACTCACCTTCCATTAGTGCACCGTTAATGTTTCTTAACATAAATGGCCATGTCAGCATAAATAACACTTTTCATGACCAAATTACCCTTGAATGGCAAATTAGGGGAAAAGGGTCATTTAGGTTAGGGTTAGAACGAAACTCTCTCTCTCTCTCTCTCTCTCTGCTCTACTCTGCCTCTCTCGCTCAGATCTGGCCACCACACCATCTTCTCTCACTCAGATCTTGAAGGTAGTCACTACATCACCCTCTCTCTCACTTAGATCTGGCAGCCGCACCACCTACTCTCGCTCAGATCTTGAAAGTAGTCACTGCATCACCCTCTCCCTCGCTCAGATCTGGCAACTGCACCACCTTCTTTTGCTCAGATCTTGAAGGTAATCACTGCACCACCCTCTCTCTCTCGCTCAAATCTGGCCACCACACCACCTTCTCTCGCTCAAATCTTGAAGGTAGTTACTGCATCACCCTCTCTCTTGCTCAGATCTGGCCACCGCCTCACTCAGATCTTGAAGGTAATCATTGCATCACCCTCTCTCTCGCTCAGATCAAGCTGTCGTACCACCTTCTCTCGCTTAGATCTAGCCGACGCACCACCTTCTCCCTTGTTCTTGAAGGTAGTCACACCACCCTCTCTCTTGCTCAGATCTTGCCACCGCCACACCACCTTCTCTCTTGCTCAGATCTTGAAGAAGACAATCTACTGGTTTGAAGATTTGAAAGAAGACAATCACAAATTTCAAAGATTTTTATGTTTTGAAACATTTGCAATGTATTCTTTTGAATCTGGAATGTAAATCCCCATCGAGGGTTCTAAAAATTTATGCAAAAAATATTTTTGTAATTGTTTATCTGATAGTTTGAAATTTTGTTACAACAATCTTCGGATTCAATGTCTAATTTTTGTTTATTTTTTTGAAAAATTTTATCATTTTATTAGTTTGTTTGTAACTTTTGATTTTTATAAAATATATAATTAAAAAAACTTTTTTTTTTAATTTTTGTTTTTTAGTTGATATTTTTAAATTTTTATCATTTTATGTATTTTTGTGTAGGTTTTTATTATCTTTTTGAAAATTTTATTTACAATTTTTTACTTTTTTCTATAATATATAATTTTAAATTTTTATAATCTTATGTATATATTGCAATTTCCGTTTTCATCCAATCTTTATATTTTTCAAGTTTCTTTTGTCTTTTTTAGTTTTCAATTTTCTCTTTTTTTTGCATTTTTGGTGTTTTGTTATAATTTCCAATGTTTTTTTTCTAATTTTTTGTTTTTTACATTTTTCAATTTTCTACAATCTATAATTTTTTTTATATTTTTTGTTATTTATTTGCAATTTCTGTGTTTTTCTACATTTTTTATTTTCTGATTTTGTTTTCAATTTCTATAGTTTTTTATTTTATTTTTTTGTAATTTTTGTGTTTTTATGTATTTTATATTTGAAAATATTTTTTTGAATATTTTCCTTTTTTTCATGTTTTTGTAGTTAAAATATTAAAATATATAGGTATATATTTTATATTTTTTATGAAGGGTAAAATAGTAATGTGTTAACTCCCGTTAGTTTGTTTAACGTCAAGTTAGTAACATGGTGAGTTTTGGACGTTTTGAAAAGTTGTGGTGAGTTTAAGAGAATTCATAAAAAGTAATGGTGGGTTTTGGACAATTTCCCATTTTAAAATTAGAAAATTCAAAAAAAAAACAATTTGTCAAAAACTCACCATGAGTTTTTAGCACTTCTCTTAAACTCACCACAACTTTTCAAAATGTCTAAAACTCACCATGTCACTAACTTGACGTTAAAGAGACTAACGGCTGTTAATATATTACCATTTTAACCTTCACAGAAAATATAAAATATATACATATATTTTAATATTTAGACATGAAAAAAGGAAAAAGTTCAAAAATTATTTTCAAATATAAAATACATAAAAACACAGAAATTGAAAAGTATATAAAAAATTATAAAAAGTGCACACAAAATAAAAAAAAATATTTTCAAATTATAGAAACTATAGAAATTGAAAAACAAAATCAGAAAATAAAAAATTATAGAAAAAACACCAAAAATTATAGAAAAACAGAGAAATTGCAAATAAATAACAAAAAATACAGGAAATTTTGTAGATTGTAGAAAATAGAAAAATATAAAAAAACAGAAATTATAAACACTAAAAATGTAAAAAAAAATGAAAAATGAAAAAGACCCTTTTCCTCTAACTCACCATTCAAGGGTGATTTGGTCATAAAAATTGTTATTTATGCTGACCTGGACACCTCTATTAAGAAACATTAACGATGCACTAACGGAAGGTGAGTTTTGGAAAATAAAAACTTACTGACATGCTGAGTTTTAGACATTTTGAAAAGTTGTGGTGAGTTTAAGAGAAATGCTGAAAAATCATGGTGAGTTTTAGACAATTTCCCAAAAAAAAAAAAAAAAAAGATAGTTGCCTTTAAGAAGAAACCTAAAAAAAGATAAGTGACTTTGAGAATAAGCCACAAAGCAAAAAGTGTCAGCTTTGCACATTGCATTTTAATATATAGATATAGATTGCAATCGGATATTGAATAATATAAGTAAATTAAACTAAAGTGTTATTAATAAAATTAATTAAATATGATTTTGATACATTAATTCATGAACAAATTGAAATGAAAATGGCTTGAATGAAGCTTTAACGTATGATAATTTAGTAAAAATATGGCATTCAAACCTAGATATAATAGTACTAATATGTGTCTAATTTTTTTATATTTCTATTTGTTCAAAAATCATTATTATTTAATATGACAAATATAT